TATGACTCCTAGGACATACAGTAGTTTACCCAGGCTATTAAAAACAAAACCATTTTATTGCAATTACGTCTTAATAATTTTAAGTAGTATTTCCTTGAACTCAAACCAATTTAAAAACGAATGATTAAAAATAAAACTTGGCTAAACTCATAAATGTAAAAATTATTCTCTTAAAATAAAAGCATGTGACTAAAAACATCTATCCATGCCAAAACGTCAAACAATTATATAGTTGTTTTTTTTTTTTTTTTTTTTTAAACCGATTCTTTAATTATAGCCAGACTAATTTTGATAATTGCTTATTGACCACCAACTAAAATTTTAAAATAAACCCAGAATATTCGAAGGACAAGGGCGGAAACATTTTTCTGTCAGTCGTTGAACTACATAGGATAATAACGAATTACATACCGAATGTTTTTAAAAGACGAACTACTGGCTCTTTTATTATCGAAAAAACATAACCGCTTGTTATTATTTAAAAAAGAAAAAGAAAAAAAGATCCCACTTCTCTGTCACGAACATTACAGGAAGGTCCGGCTTTTTGATAATTAAATCCACTGAGTGCTAAATTGATTGGAAAAAAAAGAAAGAAAGAAAAGAGACTAAGACAGTGAAAGAGAGAGAAAAAAAAAGATAAAGGCTAAAGCACTTGCCAAATAAAATTAAAAAAAAAGTATGCTTTATTATCTTTTATGTAATTACTCATCTTATTGTCACGCTTTTGTTGTTTGCCAGAATATCTCGAGAATTTTAGTCATTTTGTTGAACCTTTACAAACGGTCTGAAAGTGAATTATTTTTTTCTGATTAAATGTCAAACAGTTGAACGTCTAAAAAGAAGAAAAAAAAAAGAAAACTCTTTTCATATTTAATTTTTTTAAAAAGTTACAAAAAGGTTAAAAGTAAAACATTGGCAATTAAGAAACAATTATACTATTTTTATCAATTTGTAAACATAATCTCAGGGATTTTAAAAAAGCGTTTCGCTTTTTGGTTTCGTACCATTCACATTTTTATTTTTACTTCTAACCTTTCCAAACATGCAAGAGCGCCAGTTATAAGAAACATAGACGGAGTGAGGGGAGGAAGGGATATTGGGTACCACTAAAACCTGGATGAGAAAAACCGGGATGGCTTCACTCACCTACACCCGTACACAACTGTGTGGCAAATAATGCTCTTTGCTTCTCAATAAATTGCGCCAAGGTACCCGAGATGAAAAGGAGAGAGAGAAAAAAAAGAGGGCGGGGGGAGCGGACTTATTCTCCTTCTTCCTCTCTGTGCATATAAACACGTCGAGTTCGATTTATATCATGTGGATAAAAATAGAAAATAAATGAAAGTTGGCTGGTAGTTAAAACGAGCAAAGGTAGGAGAAAGATAAAATGGATGATGATGACTGTCGACATTAGGGAAGGAGGGGAAAATAGACTAGCTAGCGTAGTAGGAGATAATGTTAACGGTTTTACTTTTATATAAACACACATACATATATTATATAGATATATATGTATGTTATATCAATTATTTTGTAAATATACATACATCCCTGCATTAACGAAATGTGGCATCTTCCTACGTAGCCAACGATACCCCCCCCCACCAACACGAGAGAAAGAAAAACCGTGGCCAACATGACGAAAAGATCACATTATTATTACCAACACACAAAGGGGTCTAGTCGAAAATATAAGAGATGATGAAGTAATTTTTAATACTGATTTCTTGGGTGCATTTTCATTAAAGAAAATATTTTCGTCGCGGTTACAAGAAGGCATGTTAAGAAAAAAAAAAGAAGAAAAAAAAGATAGACGTGGATCTGGATAGTATGGAAGATAATGAGGAACAAAGACGAGAAGGAGACATCCAGTTACTGTGTAATTAAAATCATGTCGAGCAGGCGAGGGAAGACGAAAATAATAATAATTTGCAATTAACACAGGCTTGGAAATAACGTGCAGATTTTTCAATCAAATACATGAGTTTTCAGGAGACAAAAATCCAACATTATTTTAAAAAAACGTTTCTAATCATCACTTCTTTTCTTAGGAATGATAAATTATTTCAACATGTGTATTGTAAAAAAGACAATCTGGCATGTACATGTGATTTCCTAGATGCAAAACAAGAATAAATTGTCGGCAAATACAAATTACTTAGGAGTTTAACTCGAAAACGTTTAGCTTGAAAAGACGTGAGTTTCTGTAAAATAGAGAGGAAGGTTTTTTTTTTTGTTTTTTGTTTTTTAAAGTGGGTCATCGTCCCCAGTTTGATTAAGTGAATCTATACAAGATGCGTATGTCTTGGGGTTTTCACTTTTCATTAATAATAAAAGAATGATCTTTCAATACCAGAAAAAGCAGTTTTTGTTTCATTGGCTTACAACTTTCCATAAATATATATATATATATATGAGCACAATGTTCAGTCAGCAAGCATTGTCAATTAATTAAAATTTGGAAAATGCCCACAAATAAAAATGGGACAGATGAGGGGGGGTGCGTCGTTTTCCCACCCTTTTTCTTGTTGATATATAAACACGCAAAAATCCGTTACTCTTGTCTTTTTCCCACTGTCCCCTCGCCTCACCTTTTAGGTCGTTTCCCTGTAGTTTATGGACTAAGAGAGAATAAAAACCGGTTTAGTTTATATAAGCTACTTAGTGACAAATTATTTTTATTATAAAGTTACGTTTCCAGAAAAGAAAACAGGACATATATTTATTTAATAAATAAGAATTATGTATTTTATAAGCCTATATTGTATACAGTTGTCACACAAGTATATTTTTTCTTTTTTTGAGTCAAGGTTACATACATGAATATACACACACTTACACGTTATTTTGCCCGTTCTGTAAATTCGATTTAAAATCATTTTAACATGTTATTGATTCCGAAGTCTGGAAAATTAGGTTTTGTGTGTGTTATTAATGTCATAAAAAGCGCCCAACCTTAAACAAGCTTTTTGTATTTTTAAATAAAAAAAACATTGTGTTGTCAAACATGAACGATTCACGTGTTAATTGTAATTTTGCGGTTAAATAAAAATAAAAGGTTTAATTCTTAATTTTTTTAAAAAGTAAAAGAAACATTCTTATTCGACAAATAACATTTTTTAAATAGCAAGGGAATGTAAGTAACTTTTGCGAAAATGAAACTCCTATATAATGAAACACACATCGATGCAAATCGCTTGTTTTCATTCCCATGTCAATCAAGTCTCAATTATCGGGGCGGATTAATTTTTATATTGTAAATAAATAAACTCTGTTTTGTTTCATATTATAAACAAATCAGTTACGAGAATCGTTTGTAAAGAGAATATAAATAAAGGCAAAAATAGATGTGGTCTATAAATTTAAGAAATATCCTTGGCCATAAGCAAACAAGGCTTTTTTTAAACATTGCTTTTTAAATGTTGGAAAAAGCAAGCAAGGCAAGTGCGTGTGTGCAGATTTTTTTTTTCTTTTAGTTTTTTGACTTTCGACGTAGGATAAAAATAAATGATCTTGAATAAAATCGTCAAGCGGGTCGCCTAGAGAATAAAAGTAAATGTTTATTATATTTTTATTGTATCTGTGTTTTTTTTGTTTTTTTTTTAAATCGTATGTGAGGATAAAGAGACATGTGAACACGAGAAGTCGTTTTATTTTGGAATAAACTCCCAACTCGTGTTGTATACAACACAAGAACTAACATCAAAATGATAAAATTTCCCATACTATTTTTTTAACTTTACCACAAAACACCTCCTACAGAAGGGAAAACTTAGATGAAGAGACAAAGTTTTTTTTATTTTAATAAAATCAGAACAAATTAGTAGAGAAGAGGCACTTCTGAAGAAATTCGCCTATGTGATACCCGTCCGAAAAATACGAAATTAAGAGTAATGTTTTTGTTTATGAAAAATATTTAATTACCCTTCTAGCTTTTAAAGGCCAACGAAACCCAAATAGTCGTTGCTGAAGAAAATACTTGTAAAATATTCAACAAAAATATATACGATTTATAATTGTACTTACTTCATTTTGTATATAGTCCGTGTAAAAGAAAAGTGTCGCACTTTACACTTGATGTGTACACAGGTAGATTGTAACAACAATATTTATAAAAGAGGGGGATGGGAATAAAAACAATTGTCCATACACGTTTTTTTTTTGTTTCTTTTTTTTTTGTTTAATTTTTTTTCGTTGTTGGTGTGATTTTATTACTTTTTTTT